ATTTGTCTTTGTACAAAACGTTAACCACTAACTTCTGCTTCTTGTAATCTGCTTATTCAAGGATGTAGTAGGAGGCTTTATAAGCTGACTCCTCTGGAAGCTCGGTGCTGATCTCCTCTAACCCTGCGTGGTTGAGAGTCAGTCGCTGGCCGGCTAATAAAGGCTCATAATTCATCTCAATTGGCTCCGTGGGTCTCAGAATCATTCGCGCCACAACAATATCACCTCACTGTAACTGAATTTCCACTTTTACAAAATGAGTAGAGTGGTTAACACATTTGCTGAGAAAATATAGACTAAAAAACAAACATGATGAAGTAGCAATATGCATAAATCCTGCATTTCCAGAAAACCAACTACATAAATATAGGTTAGAAATATAACTGGCTTGGTAATATTTCATGGAAAAAAATATTGCACATTATCGTGTTCTTAAACACATTGTGAAGAAGATGCAAAAAAAAAAAAAGAGAGAGAAGAAACCATCTCAACAAAAACATAAAAAATGTGACTTTAAATGTATAAAAATGGTTGCCAGTCTTAGTCATGCCATACCATGTGTAGATCACACTGCATTTGAAGAGGACTGTCCAAATTTTAGCCACCAAACTGACAAACTGCAGTCTCTCGTTTATTTTTGTAATCATAATGCTTAGCATAATGGCTGTCACTGTAAAGATATTCGATAAAAACTAATTGTGAGAGAGGTGAGGAGGCATCTGAAAGTAAAATTAGATGCAGGGGAAAGGGCTGCAGAAATAACCGACTCAGCTAGTTAAAACTGCTCTCTCTTCCCCTATTCTGCCCTATGATCTTCAGTTAACATGTTTTCCACAGCTGCATCCCCCACCTCAATGATTCTCCGGCCCCTTCCCTATCTCTGTAGCTGTATAGGAATGTCAAGACTGTGGAACTGTTTGCTGTGTTATAGCGAGAGCTCAGCCTTCGGATCAGGACCCCCCTGAGCGGCTCAGACATCAATGAATGCTGCTTGCTCCCTGTCTATAAGCCTAGGAGTGCCATCTCTTTGTTCAAGAATCCAATAAAGGTGCTGGTAAGACCAAGGGTCTGGAAATTCCTCCCCTGCAGTCCTCCACCAAAGCTGCCCCTTCCCAATCTGAGTAAGGGGGGATATGTAAAACCTCATACAAAGGAATCACGGGGCCCTTGCATGGACACTGTACACTGTGAGGGTATATAAACTGTAAGAAATCTAACCAAAGGGAGATCGTGCTTTGGGTCTGTTGAATGCCCCATACTCTCTGCCAGCATTAAATTCTCCTTCCTCTAACAAAGTTGTCTGAGAGTCTGAATTCCTCCATTGGGTGTCGCTTCCTGCAACAATTGTTTAATCAAACTAATTAATTTAACACCTAGTTTTATAATTAGTAGACCCCTTCTTAATACTTTCCCTTTACTACATACTATTCACCCAAATCCAATCATTGCTCTCAAGTGCAAATGACCTGCAGTAAAAATAAACTTTTGGGTTTGATATTTTAACATGCTAAAATGATTTTAAAAATTAGGGTTTAAGGCATTCTTCTTGAATCTTTTCTATTCTAAAGGGACTGTATATTTAACTCTCTGATTACAGGAGACACATGTTAAAACAGGAATCTTTGCTTGATTACAATTCTGGCATTTACAATTACAATTGGCATTACAATTCCTAACCATTTGTTTCTGACTTACCTCCCAGCACTTCTTCTCCATTTGGCAACAGCTTCTCATCTTTCAAAATTAGGTCCAATGTCAGCTCTTTAGTGAAGCCTTTCCCAACTCTCCTTGAAAAAGTTACTTATTTCTTCTATGTCCTTCTAACATAGGGAAGAGGCATGAGAATTAAAATGTTAATCAAGCCACAATCAGAGACTGCAACATACTGATTAGCCCTGCAGTCAGGCCAGGAGGACACCTCAGAACAAAGAAAGGTTTCTGCTAGGATTCCTAACAACCCATTCTCCACACCTGTGAAGGGGAAACAGGAACCAAGAGTCATTCCCTATGGCTAAAACCATGGGGAACCTATGTATTAGAGGCTAGGAACTGCCAGCAGGCGTTTCACTCTAGTATTGTTACCTTTTCATGCTAAAATACTTTTCTCCTTCCCCTCCCTCACTGTATGTCCATATCAAAGGAAATGGAAACTAAAGAATGATATATAAACTGAATTCTTTGAACACTCAGGGTCCCTCTCAGTGCTTTTTCTCTGTTTCTCACTGTCTATCTCACCGTCCGCCTCACTGTCTGACTCTGAGAGGAGACCACACTTGTGGTATTATCTCTTTTCTAATAAAATTTCCTTTTGACTCTAACTTTGGTGTGTGAGTTGAATTCTTTTTACACTCTCCTCCAAAGGACTCTCTTTTTCTCTCAGTGCAGGGCTTGCTCTCGCTCCAACTTGGGGAAATTTGCTCTGTCTTGCATCAGTATCAGTATCCCAAGATCAATATCTCTAAATGAATTTAGTATCTCAAATTTTGTCCTGCCTTCTTTCTCTAATCCTATTGAAGAAATCATCATTACTCTCACTCACTCAGAGAAATCAAATTAAAAAAATTGTTTTGATCATCTTTTGTGTGTAGGTAGCTGTTATTGATGATGTTTTATCTTTCTGCAAATTAACTTTTCTGAAACCAATTGTATGTGTAGACCAAGTAAGGTCTTGCAAACATGGAATGAAACCAATTGTATGTGTAGACCAAGTAAGGTCTTGCAAACATGGAATGTCAGGAGCATACTGAAGACCTCTAGATCTTTAATTCTTACATCACCAATATGGGTACTAGATTGACTGGGACAAACATATAAATGTCTAATCACTATGTTGTAAACCTGAAACTAATATATTGTATGCCAACTGTAATTAAAAAATAAAAAAAAAATATTTTAAAAAGTATCCTCCATTAGAGAATCTGTGTATGACCCTCTCTAGGTGAAATCTTTTAAATACAGCTGCTACTGGTTGATACAATAACTCATTAGATCTTTAGAGTCACAGCTCCTATTTCAAGAATAACATCCTCAGAAACCTTTACTTTCTGCCATCCATGTAAGCACATAGCTAGTCTCTGGCAGCAAAACAGGGCAATTTCCTATCTCTCAACATTTTCAAAGCAGGTGTTAGCCAAACTCTTGAAGAGTTAATTTAAATATCAAGTGGGGATGATGATGGAAAGGATGGCCTTTAAAGTCTCTTTCAATCTGATACTCTATAATCCTCAAAACTGGACCTTCTAAGTGCAAGTTATTTCAGTCACCTTTCCACTGAATCTACTCTTTGACTTCAAATCCCTTATTATAGCACCCATCTTTCAGATCCCCAATTACTATAGCCAGAGTAGCCCCAGATCACTTACCAGCCACTGGACATCATTCAGTACCTGCTTTTGTCTTGTCTGGCTCAGATATATGTGTGAAATTGAGTCTGGATCTCGGAGCCTTTCCTCTTCTTCAATGAGTCCTATCTTTACAGGGCATAGTCCCCAGAGCTAACCCTGACTATTTCAGGCTATTAGGGGCACAGACACAGGAGAGATCCTTTATCTCCCGAGGCAGGTAAGAATTTGGCTGAGACTAGGCTCCTGGGAGAGCGTTTGGATAGAGACTAATTTTGCCTTCTTCCGAGTGGGCTCAGAGAAGCCCAAAATGCTTGCTATATGTTCACCCCTTCCTCAACACCCAACACTGTCCCCATCTCCATTGACTTTTAATCCAGACTCAGACTCTGGCTCTAAAAATACAACCCTAAACCCTCCAAATACTCTTTTCATAAACACGTGCACTCTTACATTTCCTTGGCTCATTTCATTAATCCAAAGATGCTTTGTATTT